GTCACCTCTCGCCTCCTTAACAGCCTTCCTCCCACCTTACCTCCCCTCCCCTCCTCCCCTGCTCCCCCATGCCCATCATGCATTCATGGCAAGCTCAAACAGTCCCCCCATCACAGTCATCCCACCTTCGCTCCTGCCCCCATTGACCTTGTTCACATGGATCTCTAGGGCCCTTATCCCATCCGCTCCCGTCAGGGGCACAGATACATGCTCGTGCTCGTCGACGACCACAGTCGGTACTCCACCGTCTTCTTTCTTCACACGAAAGACCAGGTGCCGGCTGTGGTCATCAACTGGGCTGAGCAGTGCCGCAACCACTTCAAACGTCCCATAGGCCGCCTTCACTCTGACGGTGGGGGTGAGTTCATCAATCATACTCTCTCCACTTACTGCAAAACATACGGCATTCAGCAGACCACCACCCTTCCCCACTCCCCTCAGCAAAACGGCATCGTTGAGAGTCGCATCCGTGAGATCACCAAGATTGCGCGCTGCCTCATTGCTCACGCCTCCACCCCTCCCTCCCTCTGGAGCTATGCCCTCATTCATGCCGCCCTCCTCCTCAATCTCCGCTCCCACCCTCAGCATCCCTCCTCCTCCCCCACAGAACTCTGGTCCAAGGCCAAGCCTGACGCCGCAGGCCTTCGTGTTTGGGGCTGCAAGGCGTTCGTCCTCATTCCACCGGCCGACCGCTCTCGCGCTGCTGGCAAGCTCGCTCCTCGCGCTCTGGAGTGCGTCTACCTTGGGCACAATCGTGATTCCCCAGGCTACCTATTCCTCCACCCTCCCACCAATCGCCTCATCCGCAGCATTGACGTCGTCTTCGACGAGTCCACTCCCTACTACTCCACCCCTCCTCCTGACCCCCTCCCTCCTCCCACTCGCCCCCTCGCTTGGACCGACACCATCCTCCCGCCTCTTATCCCTCCAGCGCCTCTCCTCCCACCTGTCGCCGCCCCACTCCCGCCTTCCTCCTCTGCCGACGTCTACGACCCTGCCGCACCCGCCTCCCCCGCTCACTCAGCTGCACCCCCTCCCCCCTCTCCCTCCTCCTCTCATTCTCCTCCTTTCCAGCAGCCGGATCAGCAACAGCAGGGGCAGCAGCAGCAGCAGCAGCCGGATCAGCAACAGCAGGGGCAGCAGCAGCACCAGCAGCAGCAGCAGCAGCAGCAGCAGCGGGAGCAACACCAGCAACGGCAGCAGGGGCAGCAGCAGCAGCAGCCGGGGCAGCAGCAGCAGCAGCAGCAGCAGCAGCAGCAGCAGCAGCAGCAGCAGCAGCAGCCGGAGCAGCAGCAGCAGCAGCAGCAGCCGGGGCAGCCGCATCAGCAGCAGCCGGGACAGCAGCAGCAGCAGCAGCATCAGCAGCAGCAGCATCAGCAGCAGCAGCACCAGCAGCAGCAGCGGCGCCGTGCCACTTCCCGCTCCTCCCCCTTCCTCCTCCCTTACATCCATACCCGCTCGGTGGACAAAATCCTTGGGGCTCCTCCTCCTGCCTCCATTCAGCTCCTTGAGGACTCCCATGAGGAGTTCCTCAACATTCGGGAGCACACTCCATTCCTTGCCGCCCTCTACCTTGACTTTCTGGGCTTTCCTGTCCTTGGCGCCACTACTACCCCCACCATCTTCACTCCCTCCACCTTCCAGGAAGCCATCACCTGCCCTGATGCGGATAAATGGATAGCAGCGATCTTCCTGGAGTGTGAGGCTTTCATTCGCAACGACTCCTTTGTCGATGTCCCCCTCCCTGCTGGCGATAATCTCGTTGACGGCAAATGGGTCTTTCGGGTGAAGCAGCTGCCGGGCGAGGAACCACTGTACAAGGCCCGCTACTGCGCCAAGGGGTTCACGCAGACTTGGGCTGAGGACTACTGGTTCACCTACGCCCCCACCGCCAAACCACCCACCCTTCGCGCCGCCATGGACATTGGTGCACGTGACGACATGGAAATCGACACCATGGACGTCTCCAATGCGTTCCTGCAGGGCGACCTGCATGAGCGCATTTTCCTCCGGCGACCCCCCGGGTTCCACGCAGCCTTTCCTGAGAACACTGTCTGGCAGCTGCGTCGCCCCGTCTACGGCTTGAAGCAGGCACCACGTGAGTGGCATGCGAAGCTGGCTGCCACCTTGGGGTCCCTCGGCTTCTCTGCTTCCCACTCCGACGCCAGCCTCTTCATCCGCTCCTCCCCCCGCCGCTTCTTCATTGTGGTATATGTCGACGACATGATCCTGCTCTCTGACACCAAGGCCGACATGGAGCAGGTGAAGCTGTCCCTGCAGCAGCGGCTCAAGTGCAAGGACCTTGGCGCCCTCACTCACTACCTCGGCATGACCATCACGCGCAACCGCCCTGCTCGCACAATCACCCTCTCCCAGTCCCATTACATCGGCCAGGTCTTGGAGAAGTTCGACATGGCGCAAGCCAAGCCTGTTTCCACCCCGCTCCCCTTCGGTCACCAACTCGCTCCACCCATTTCCCCCACCTCCTCCCCCCACCCCTATGCCGAGCTCGTTGGGTCCTTGATGTACGCAATGATGTGCACCCGCCCCGACCTCGCCTACCCCATCAGCGTGCTCGCTCGCTTTGTCGGCACCGGTCGTCACTCTGAGGAGCACTGGAAAGCTGCCAAGCGGGTCCTCCGCTACCTTCGCGGGACCAGGGACCTTGCCCTCACCCTCGGCGGCCCTTCGCGTCCCCTTCTCTCGGGCTTCAGTGACTCCTCATGGGCTGACACGCAGCCGGACCGCCGCTCCTCCCAGGGCTACGGCTTCACCCTTGGCACCGGCCTCATCAGCTGGCGCTCCACCCGCTCCTCCGCCATCTCTCTCTCCACCTGCGAAGCCGAGCTCTACGCTGGCACCATGGCCGCCAGGAGTCGCGCTGGCTCTGCTTCCTTCTTGCGGAGCTTGGCGCCCCCCAGACGTGCCCCACTCTCTGGTGCGACAACGCCAGCACCATCCATCTCACTCAGGACCCCGTCTATCACGCCCGCTCCAAGCACATCGAACTCCGCTACTTCTTCGTTCGCGAGCTCGTCCAGAAGGGCCTCATTGCCGTTCGCAAGATTGCAACCGAGGCCAACTTGGCCGACATCTTCACTAAGGCCCTCCTTCGCCCCGCGCACTCTGCCTTCCTCCGCCTCATTGGCCTTGCTCGCCCGGGCGCCCCTTGATTCAGGGGTTGTTCTCTTCTTGTGTTAGCATGCTAAGGGGTTGTGTTAAAATATATATTGTGTAGCATGCCAACACATGTGATTGTACACCAATTGTGGTGTACAGTTGGGTTGGGACTACACCCAACTTTGGGTGTAGTCTTGCACTTTGGGGTGCCAATCCACCCAATTGTGGTGGAGCCCCCAAATGCAACCCTCTTGACTTGTGGGTACCTCACTTCCCACAATTGAGGTTACCCCAAGCCAAGTGGGCCTAGGGTTGCCTCACTTCTACAAAGTGTGGGCAACCCAACCCACTTGACCTATGGTTCCCTCACTTCCCCAAGTGAGGTCAACCCAACCTATGGTCACTTTCATCCTTCCCTTCCAACCTTCCCTTCCAACTATGTATGCTAGGTTGTTCCTCTAATCTGATCACTTGTTCAATTTGCTACTTTCACAATGGAGCATAGAGTGGAGAGGAGAGCATGTCATGGAGCATAGAGTGGAGAGGAGAGCAGGTCATGGAGCATAGAGTGGAGAGGAGAGCAGGTCATGGAGCATAGAGTGGAGAGGAGAACAGGTCATGGAGCATAGAGTGGAGAGGAGAGCAGGTCATGGAGCATAGAGTGGAGAGGAGAGCAGGTCATGGAGCATAGAGTGGAGAGGAGAGCAGGTCATGGAGCATAGAGTGGAGAGGAGAGCAGGTCATGGAGCATAGAGTGGAGAGGAGAGCAGGTCATGGAGCATAGAGTGGAGAGGAGAACAGGTCATGGAGCATAGAGTGGAGAGGAGAGCAGGTCATGGAGCATAGAGTGGAGAGGAGAGCAGGTCATGGAGCATAGAGTGGAGAGGAGAGCAGGTCATGGAGCATAGAGTGGAGAGGAGAATAGGTCATGGAGCATAGAGTGGAGAGGAGAACAGGTCATGGAGCATAGAGTGGAGAGGAGAGCAGGTCATGGAGCATAGAGTGGAGAGGAGAGCAGGTCATGGAGCATAGAGTGGAGAGGAGAATAGGTCATGGAGCATAGAGTGGAGAGGAGAACAGGTCATGGAGCATAGAGTGGAGAGGAGAGCAGGTCATGGAGCATAGAGTGGAGAGGAGAGCAGGTCATGGAGCATAGAGTGGAGAGGAGAGCAGGTCATGGAGCATAGAGTGGAGAGGAGAACAGGTCATGGAGCATAGAGTGGAGAGGAGAGCAGGTCATGGAGCATAGAGTGGAGAGGAGAGCAGGTCATGGAGCATAGAGTGGAGAGGAGAGCAGGTCATGGAGCATAGAGTGGAGAGGAGAGCAGGTCATGGAGCATAGAGTGGAGAGGAGAACAGGTCATGGAGCATAGAGTGGAGAGGAGAACAGGTCATGGAGCATAGAGTGGAGAGTAGATAGGAGTGGTGGTGCGTCCCTGCATCTCATAGTGCCCCTGTGACCGATTGATCCACTCTGCTCTGACCACTTGCAGCATGCACTTCCCATGACCCGTTTAATGGCAGGTGAGTGGCTGGGTGGGTGACTTTGAGAGCAGTAGGTGGTCCCTCGCGTGGCAGCATGTGTTGCCCGCAGCATGCTTCAATGCAAGAAGACAGGCGGGGCAGCACTCAGTGAGAATCCACACCAACCACCGTAACAGAAAGTGCGGAGACGAAATGGCACAGCAACGATGTTCACTCAGACTCACCGGTTGAACCAGTCCCCTGAGTGGTAGGAGTCCCTGTCGAGCAACTTGGAGCGCAGCACTGGCCATTGCACCAGCCTTCCCTCAGCACAGAAATGGCACAACAACAGTGTTCACTTGACACTCACCCAGCGAGCTCTCAGTGACTCGGTCTGCTCTGCACTCCCCACTCACCGGTTGAACCAGTCCCCTGAGTGGTAGGAGTCACGGTCGAGTGACTTGGAGCGCAGCAGGTCGTCGCCCGCATGGATGAATGGCACGCCCTGCCCCCATGCCACCACCGCCATGCCCACTCGATTCATTGCCACGCGCTGCTGGGGGGTTGCTGCTGCTGCTGCCTGGTGGGTGGGGATGGGGGAGGGCGTGGATGGGCGGGTGCAGAGGAGAAGAAACAACGAAACGCAAAGGAACAGAAGCGCAGAAGGGAAGGGGAGGATGCAAGGCTGCATTGAGTGGAGGGGATATGTACATAGGTGCTGGACGAGCAGAGAAGCAGAGGCGCACTCCTCACAAGAAGGTGCTGACACGAGATGGTGCTGACACGAGATGGTGCTGACACGAGATGGTGCTGACACGAAATGGTGCTGACACGAAATGGTGCTGACACGAAATGGTGCTGACACGAAATGGTGCTGACACGAAATGGTGCTGACACGAAATGGTGCTGACACGAAATGGTGCTGAAACGAAATGGTGCTGACACGAAATGGTGCTGACACGAGATGGTGCTGACACGAAATGGTGCTGACATGAAATGGTGGCATGAGAATCAGGCAGAGAAGGTGGTACCTTGATGGTGATGATGTCAAAGAGAGTCTCGTTGTCATGTGCTGATATGTACGTCACCTGTACATGCACATGCCGTGGAAAAGGGAATGAAGAGCATGCATGAGACAGAGCAAAGCAGGCCACAAAGCTTGCAAAAACGAATATCTATCTCAATTGGTTCTTGGCACAGTGTCGGGTATGTGTGGGATACACAGACAGAACACATGCTTGGAACGGTGGGCAGGAAGGAGAAGGCCGTCTTCAGCATGGCGTGCGCGTCACTCGATTCATGTCAGCTCATGTCAGCTTTACCGATTCATGTCAGCTTTACCGATTCATGCGGGGTGGCGGCATACGCCACAGGCGACCCTCCAAACGTGTACAGCTGCCCTCCCGTCACCTGTGCGGGCAGCAGCCGTGAGGAGCAGGGGAGGAGAGGAAAGGGGACGTGAGGCGCGGAGGAAAGGGGACGTGAGGCACGGAGGAAGAATGTGGATGTGGACAGTGGAGGCATAGGAGCGGCAAGCTGGACAGAGAGCTTGCCTCACCTCACCCTCATGGACCACATCTCCTGCACTGCATTGCCCTGCCCTGCCCAAACACCCTACCACATGAAACAATGTGACGTCTCACCACATATCACCTTCTTTCACAGCTTGCCTCACACGCATGGACCAGGTGCCCTGCACTGCCCAAACATCCTTCCTCTCATAACCAACCCACCTGCTGGCCGGTGGCATGAGAGGCGAAGGCAAAGTCTCTGAGGTTGCCCGCCATGCCCGCCTGGATCACATCCACACTCTCCGCCAGTCGCCGCCGCCACCACGCTACTGATGACCCCCCCTCGCCCCCGCTCTCCTCCCCACTGCTGCTGCCGCTGCTGCTGCCACTGCTGCTGGAGCTGTATTCCCGTTGCCGCTCGCTCTCCTCGTACTCGTTGGGCTGAGATGGGGGGATGGGATGGGATGAGATGGGATGGGATGGGATGGGATGGGATGGGATGGGATGGGATGGGATGGGATGGGATGGGATGGGATGGGATGGCATGGGATGGGATGGGATGGGATGGGATGGGATGGGATGGGATGGGATGGGATGGCATGGGATGGGATGGGATGGGATGGGATGGCATGGGCCAAGTTGGGCGGCTGTGGGAAGGCACGAGGGTGAAGGCATATGTGTGCGGCCGTTGCATGGGCACACAGCACATTACAGAATGAGCAGAGGTGTGAAGATAAGGAGACGAGGGGGTGACTTCTCCACAACAGCAACGAAAAACGATGAGAGCGAGAGATGTCTACTTTGAAAAGAAATCGACATGGAGGAGACATGGGGGATATAGAACACGGGGGAAATGGGGCCACATGGGGCACACACGAGCAGCAGGAGGCCCGAGGCGAAGCCCTGCTGCTGTGGATTGCCGAAGGGCGACCCCCCGATCACTGCATCGCGGAAGCGATCGTTGAAACTGCAGCAGGGGGAGAGGCCAGAGGGGCGAGGAAAGCAGAGGGGCGTTGGGGAATGTGGGACGGGGGATGGGAAAGAAAAGGAACTCAGGCGAGAAGAAGAATCGCTGTGAGGAGCCAAGGCCAGCATTCAGGGGGAGATGACGAAGAATCGGTGTGTGCACAGTCGCTGTGGAAGAAGAAGAGGGGATGCCTAGCTCTTGCTACCGCTGTACAGCCATCCACTGCCAACACGAGGGCCTCACCTGCCATCCACTGCCAACACGAGGGCCTCACCTGCCATCCACTGCCAACACGAGGGCCTCACCTGCCATCCACTGCCAACACGAGGGCCTCACCTGCCATCCACTGCCAACACGAGGGCCTCACCTGCCATCCACTGCCAACACGAGGGCCTCACCTGCCATCCACTGCCAACACGAGGGCCTCACCTGCCATCCACTGCCAACACGAGGGCCTCACCTGCCATCCACTGCCAACACGAGGGCCTCACCTGCCATCCACTGCCAACACGAGGGCCTCACCTGCCATCCACTGCCAACACGAGGGCCTCACCTGCCATCCACTGCCAACACGAGGGCCTCACCTGCCATCCACTGCCAACACGAGGGCCTCACCTGCCATCCACTGCCAACACGAGGGCCTCACCTGCCATCCACTGCCAACACGAGGGCCTCACCTGCCATCCACTGCCAACACGAGGGCCTCACCTGCCATCCACTGCCAACACGAGGGCCTCACCTGCCATCCACTGCCAACACGAGGGCCTCACCTGCCATTCACTGCCAACACGAGGGCCTCACCTGCCATCCACTGCCAACACGAGGGCCTCACCTGCCATCCACTGCCAACACGAGGGCCTCACCTGCCATCCACTGCCAACACGAGGGCCTCACCTGCCATCCACTGCCAACACGAGGGCCTCACCTGCCATCCACTGCCAACACGAGGGCCTCACCTGCCATCCACTGCCAACACGAGGGCCTCACCTGCCATCCACTGCCAACACGAGGGCCTCACCTGCCATCCACTGCCAACACGAGGGCCTCACCTGCCATCCACTGCCAACACGAGGGCCTCACCTGCCATCCACTGCCAGCACGAGGGCCTCACCTGCCATCCAGTGCCAGCACGAGGGCCTCACCTGCCATCCACTGCCAGCACGAGGGCCTCACCTGCCATCCACTGCCAACACGAGGGCCTCACCTGCCAATGCCCGTGCCGTGCAGGTTGGCCTGCGCTCCGTTCACCCCGCGGCCATTATTCGCCACCTCGCCGAAATCCCACCCCTCGCCATACCTGGTGTGGTGTGTGCGTTCACAGCATTACAGGGCGAGCAGGGGCGTGGCGAAAGGATAACAAAACAGAATGGATCCCAAGAAGCAGAGCTGGCAAGACCTGACAGCAGCGGTGTGTGAAATGCTAGCAGGCATGGTGTGAGCGTGAATGCTATAATGCGGTCTAGTGGGCAGAGGTATGAGCAGTTGAAACTGTTGATTCTCACAAGTAAGAGGATACCATTGAGACACATCTCAGCAGTTGGTTCATTCTCACAGGTAGATGGCCTTGCCGTCCACCCCATGCTCACAGGTAGATGGCCTTGCCGTCCACCCCATGCTCACAGGTAGATGGCCTTGCCGTCCACCCCATGCTCACAGGTAGATGGCCTTGCCGTCCACCCCATGCTCACAGGTAGATGGCCTTGCCGTCCACCCCATGCTCACAGGTAGATGGCCTTGCCGTCCACCCCATGCTCACAGGTAGATGGCCTTGCCGTCCACCCCATGCTCACAGGTAGATGGCCTTGCCGTCCACCCCATGCTCCTCGACTGTGAGTGCGTCCAGTGCCGAGCGGATGCACAGCTGAGGGCGAGGCAAGAAGAAGAGGCAGGGAGACGAGGCAAGGAGAAGACAAGTAAAGACATAATGAGTGTGAAGAGAATGAGAATGATTTAGCGGTGCGTAAATCGCTCATCATGTTGTACAGAATTCACAGCAGCACTGACCATGGTGTGCTTCATGAGGTGCCCCATGAGATCAAACCGGAACCCATCCACCTGCCATGCAATGGCACCAGGGATCAGAGGCAACGGATAAGTGTTGAAAGAAGAGGTGTTGGCGCCCTGACATGGCTGACACAAGCACGAGTATTCTCAAGACATAGCCGTGCTGTAAGCGTAACAGTGTTCTGGACATGACCTGTTTCTGGTTACATTCAGCTAGGTTGCACCACAAGTACCAAGAAATCACAATCTATCTAAAAAAGGAAGGAAGAAATGTTTCAGCCATGACTGACCTTGTACTGCGTGGCCCACGTGAGCACATCATCCACTATGAGGCGCTCCACCATGGCATGCTCGCTCGCCGTGTTGTTGCAGCACGCACTGCTCTCCACGCGCCCCTCCACGTCCCTCCGCACGTAGTAACCGGGTACCACCTGGTGATCAGCGAGAGAGGGAGGAGCGGCGCAGAGAGGGAGGAGCGGCGCAGAGAGGGAGTGTAAAGATAAGCAACGGGCTGGGAAGGAAGTAGCAGAGAGCTGTCAGTCACACGTTATCTCTCACTCAGACACACGTTATCTCTCACTCAGACACACGTTATCTCTCACTCAGACACACGTTGTTTCTCACTCAGACACACGTTATCTCTCACTCAGACACACCTTATGGAGCACAGAAAAGGGGATGTGCTGCTGGCTGTGAGGGCTACAAGACTGTGAGAACAGCGAGACTGTGAGAACAGCGAGACTGTGAGAACAGCGAGACTGTGAGAACAGCGAGACTGTGAGAACAGCGAGACTGTGAGAACAGCGAGACTGTGAGAACAGCGAGACTGTGAGAACAGCGAGACTGTGAGAACAGCGAGACTGTGAGAACAGCGAGACTGTGAGAACAGCGAGACTGTGAGAACAGCGAGACTGTGAGAACAGCGAGACTGTGAGAACAGCGAGACTGTGAGAACAGCGAGACTGTGAGAACAGCGAGACTGTGAGAACAGCGAGACTGTGAGAACAGCGAGACTGTGAGAACAGCGAGACTGTGAGAACAGCGAGACTGTGAGAACAGCGAGACTGTGAGAACAGCGAGACTGTGAGAACAGCGAGACATTCATTGAGACACACCTTATCGAGGACGGAGAAGGGGCTGTGAGGGCCGCTGGCGTAGAGGTGGTTGTAGACCACATCCAGCACCACGCGCAGCCCCATGCCGTTCACTGCCTGCCCTCGCGCCCGCCCGCCATGGGTGAGAATTGGCATGTAGCAGGGGGCAAAGAGAGGAGGGAAAAATCAGAAGCTTGTTCTTTGTGCAACTTTACTCACTCTTTAATGATCATTATGTGCCAGCTTTGAGTTTTCTTACGCAAGGTATGTGATAGGTGCTACAGTTACTGGCAACGGATAACGGATGTGCATGTTGCATGTTATGTGGAGTGAAATCCTTGATTCCCCCAGGAGACGAAAAAGGCGGTCGAATCCTCCGCACAGAAAATAGGCACCATACTCACCACCAGCCCTCCATACGCACCAGCACCACACCCACCTGCACCACACGCACCAGCACCACACCCACCTGCACCACACGCACCAGCACCACACCCACCTGCACCACACGCACCAGCACCACACCCACCTGCACCATGGAACGGAATTCGAGGGTGCGAGCAGTGCCGTCAGCGTGAGTGGCATAGCTGCCATCCGGCACACCCCAGTGCACCGGGTCGTATCTGGGGGAGGGGGGCGTGGGTGGGGAGAGGGGCAGGCAGGAAGAGGGGCAGGCACACAGTGAGGCAGGCACGTATTCATGTGAGAGCACAGACGGACACTCCCTCTCACCCACTCTCACTTGTGAACCTCGCACACATCCTTCACACTGCCATGCCAGCTTGCTGGGCTGCAGCAGGAAACAGCAAACAGGAAACAGCAAACAGGAAACAGCAAACAGGAAACAGCAAACAGGAAACAGCAAACAGGAAACAGCAAACAGGAAACAGCAAACAGGAAACAGCAAACAGGAAACAGCAAACAGGAAACAGCAAACAGGAAACAGCAAACAGGAAACAGCAAACAGGAAACAGGAAACAGGAAACAGCAAACAGGAAACAGCATAGCAACACATCCTCGCAACCAGGCACGCAAAAACCTCGACGGCAACCACTCACCCCCAGTTGTAAGCGTCCACATCCTTCACGGCTGCTACAGCCGCCTGCTGGCGGTCCGAGTCAGGCGGGTACTGCCTGAGGGAGGGCTCATCTGCAGAGATGGAAGGAGGGGGGGCAGTCAAGAGGATGGCGTGTGAGTGAGGGGAGTGATTGGTGGAAATGATAAGCCATGTGGCTGATGCCAGTTGGCTCGCAGCTCTCCCAGTTGGCTCACTGCTCTCCCACTCAATCACTGCTCTCCCACTCAATCACTGCGCTCCCACTCAATCACTGCTCTCCCACTCAATCACTGCTCTCCCACTCAATCACTGCTCTCCCACTCAATCACTGCTCTCCCAATCTCTCAAGCAATACGACAGCATCCTTCCACAGCCACTCACCCCTGCCCCACCCACCCCCAGCCTGCCACTTGCTGCTAATCTCATTCAGAAAGTTCGATGAAGGCCTGGGCAGGCAGGTGGGCCATGGAGAGTAATGCGCAGGCAGGAGGGCATGGGAGCCGAGCACAGCAGGACACACACATAGAGAACCGAGAGGCACTGACCGACAGCCTGCCAGGCGGTTTTGTCCTCATTGACGGAGCCAAAGTCGTAGGCTGGCAGCAGGTGCAGGTGCGTGAGCCCGCTGCCCGCTAGTTGAGTCAGATGCTGTGCTCCCTGTGACTGCTGTAGAGATGGAGGAGAGATGGAGGAGAGATGGAGGAAGATGGAGAGAGATGGAGGAGAGACGGAGGAGAGACGGAGGAGAGACGGAGGAGAGACGGAGGAGAGACGGAGGAGAGACGGAGGAGAGATGGAGGAGAGATGGAGGAGAGATGGAGGAGAGATGGAGGAGAGTTGGAGGAGAGATGGAGGAGAGATGGAGGAGAGATGGAGGAGAGATGGAGGAGAGTTGGAGGAGAGATGGAGGAGAGATGGAGGAGAGATGGAAGAGAGACGGAGGAGAGACGGAGGAGAGACGGAGGAGAGATGGAGGAGAGATGGAGGAGAGATGGAGGAGAGTTGGAGGAGAGACGGAGGAGAGACGGAGGAGAGACGGAGGAGAGATGGAGGAGAGATGGAGGAGAGATGGAGGAGAGATGGAGGAGAGATGGAGGAGAGTTGGAGGAGAGATGGAGGAGAGATGGAGGAGAGATGGAAGAGAGACGGAGGAGAGACGGAGGAGAGACGGAGGAGAGATGGAGGAGAGATGGAGGAGAGATGGAGGAGAGATGGAGGAGAGATGGAGGAGAGACGGAGGAGAGACGGAGGAGAGACGGAGGAGAGACGGAGGAGAGACGGAGGAGAGACGGAGGAGAGACGGAGGAGAGACGGAGGAGAGACGGAGGAGAGACGGAGGAGAGACGGAGGAGAGACGGAGGAGAGACGGAGGAGAGACGGAGGAGAGACGGAGGAGAGATGGAGGAGAGATGGAGGAGAGATGGAGGAGAGATGGAGGAGAGATGGAGGAGAGATGGAGGAGAGACGAGGTGTTGGATGGAAGATGCAGGGGTGGGGGAGGGGTGGGGAAGAGGCGCGGGACAGTGGTGGGGAAGACGCAGGCGGCAATAGCATAGCGCACATGGACGTGTATGTGGGAAGGCAAGGAGAATGGGTGAACAGCATGCGGACAGAGACAGGAGTGATGGGCGACAGGTAAGCAGAGGGGCTCATGTAAAGAGCCGGTGGTTGGCAGGGCATGGACGGGAGTGGGGCCAGTGTGGTGAGGCGCTGGGGAGAAGTGGCGCAGGCGTGGAGTGGCAGGCAGGGGTGCACTCACGGGGTGGGTGAAGGCGAGGTACGTTCCTCGGTGGGGCTCGGGCACTGAGGAGTCCAATGCACTGATGGATGCATTGGGTGGTGCGGTGAGCGAGCATGGGAGAAAAGGGGTGAGCGAGGGAGGGAATGAGAGAAATTGTTAGGAAGCAAGGCAGGTAGAAAGAAAGAGAGGCGCATGAGTTGTTGTATGTTACTGTATAGAGCAGAGGAGAACATGAGGTAGCAGCAGCAGCAGGGTGCAAGCAGGGCTCGGCAGGTCAGGATTCTGCAGAACGAGGAGCATAATGGCACAGGTGCAAAAGCGTGCTCCACAAACAGCTTCACAGGCACATGTGTGAAGAACGAATGGTGAGGTGAAGAACGAATGGTGAGGTGAAGAACGAATGGTGAGGTGAAGAACGAATGGTGAGGTGAAGAACGAATGGTGAGGTGAAGAACGAGTGGTGAGGTGAAGAACGAGTGGTGAGGTGAAGAACGAGTGGTGAGGTGAAGAACGAATGGTGAGGTGAAGAACGAATGGTGAGGTGAAGAACGAATGGTGAGGTGAAGAACCAATGGTGAGGTGAAGAACCAATGGTGAGGTGAAGAACCAATGGTGAGCAAGCTTGGAGAGAGAGTGCATGTGGAACGAGGGCAGCAGGAGTGAAGAGCACCTGAAGTCACGGATGTGAAGCGCACCTGAAGTCACGGATGTGAAGCGCACCTGAAGTCACGGATGTGAAGCGCACCTGAAGTCACGGATGTGAAGCGCACCTGAAGTAACGGATGTGAAGCGCACCTGAAGTCACGGGTGTGAAGCGCACCTGAAGTCACGGATGTGAAGCGCACCTGAAGTCACGGATGTGAAGCGCACCTGAAGTCACGGATGTGAAGCGCACCTGAAGTCACGGATGTGAAGCGCACCTGAAGTCACGGATGTGAAGCGCACCTGAAGTCACGGATGTGAAGCGCACCTGAAGTCACGGATGTGAAGCGCACCTGAAGTCACGGATGTGAAGCGCACCTGAAGTCACGGATGTGAAGCGCACCTGAAGTCACGGATGTGAAGCGCACCTGAAGTCACGGATGTGAAGCGCACCTGAAGTCACGGATGTGAAGCGCACCTGAAGTAACGGATGTGAAGCGCACCTGAAGTCACGGGTGTGAAGCGCACCTGAAGTCACGGATGTGAAGCGCACCTGAAGTCACGGATGTGAAGCGCACCTGAAGTCACGGATGTGAAGCGCACCTGAAGTCACGGATGTGAAGCGCACCTGAAGTCACGGATATGAAGCGCACCTGAAGTCACGGATGTGAAGCTCGTAGATGGACACGTCTGAAAACGACTGCAGAGGCGGCTTCCTCTGATGCAACGTGGACCAATCAGGCGGCGCCAACGAGGCATCACTCAGGTCAACCACCAATGAGCGCTCTCCATTGGCTGAGAGGCTGATTGGGCACGGTAGAGGGAAAGGCGACAGGGCAAAGAGCAAGGGTAGCCCATGAGTCGAGGTTCTAGCAACCAACCATCCAGGGCGGGACGTGGAGAGAGCAGAGCAGAGCGTGCGATGGTGTTGAAGGCAATTGCATGAGTGGGTCATGCTGATGCTGCTATCCGAGTTGGGCTCTGTTCATTCCTGAGTCAATTGGCATGAGTGAGTCAATTGGCATGAGTGAGTCATTCACTGAGCATCAGGCAATGGCAGAGGCAAGGCACATAGAACAGAGATCGAAAGTTGACGCCATATTTGAGAACAAATGAGTACAGGAGCGGACGAGAAGGTAAGTACCCGCGGGAGTTAGGGTCGGTGGTGACACATGTCTCGATTCTATTGGTGGCGGGATGGAAGACCCGGATCTCATACTGATAGTACATGCCCTGCCATGCCATGGGGCCCTGTGAACTCCACTGCCCCTCGCTGCCCCGCTCCATGGGCTGGCGAGACACGGGGGGCGATGCATGTGGCTGGTCGAACAGCAGCAGCGTCACCTCCTGTGAGCAGAGCGGTGACAAGGTTAACAGGGGAGGCGGGCAGGAGAGGAGAGCAGGTGAGGACGTGTATTAGGGGTTTCATTCTCAAAATCCACCTGCGAGGTTTATGAAGGCGGTGTGAAGAGCTCGTCCTCAGCATGGGGTTGGTGGAACAGACGCAGTGGCAGGGCAGCTGCTAGATAGGCAGAGTGGTGGGTGGATGCGTGTGGGTGGTCCACGAGTGGCAGAGCAAGCGAAGCGAAGGGAGGGAGACGGAGGAGAGCGAAGCAAATGAGTGGGGGAATTGAGGAGAGGAGGTGAGGAGAGGAGGCGAGGAGAGGAGGCGAGGAGAGGAGGCGAGGAGAGGGGGTGGGTGGGTAGAGGCGGTGAGGAGAGCAGGGAAGAAACGTGTGAACTACATGACTCATGGGTGGTTTGTGCTGACCAGCCCACTCTAGGTTGGTTCCTAGCCATGGTTCCTGTTACTGTGGCTGCTTGTAAGTGGTGTGACTAGGTGGGGAAGGAAAGTAGCACCATGAATGAAGAACGAATGAAGAATGAACGACTCCAGCATGTGCTTGCACATAGTGCATGGCACATCCACAACGAGGTCTGTCAGGTAAGGCGTGGATGCCCACACACATAAATGCTCCCAGTGCCACAGAGTCACCTCATCCCACCCCCCTTGCGTTCTGAGTGACTCACAAGCCGAATCAACAATCATCGCACCTGAGCCGTGGGCGCCCACACGTGAATGCTCACGGTGCCACTGCCACTGGACCACCAGCCCCCCCCCTGCTTCTCCACGTGCGCTCCCAGCGGCCCCTCGTACCCACACAGCGCGTCCAAGGCGCCTGCCACCTGCAGACACGTGGCGTCCAGGGGCGTGCCTGATGCTGTGGGGTGAGGGGAGAGGCGTGCGGGGGAATAGGGCGTAGAGAGAAGGGTAGAGAGCAGAGAGGGACGATGAGACGAGTGCAGCAAGCATTGGAGTGCGCCTCGCCTGCCATCGGCGAGCAAACATGACAGTGCGCCGCGCCTGCCTGCCACCTGCAGCGTGCAGGCATGTGGCGTTGATGGGTGTGCTGGACGCTGGTAGAGGGTGGGAGGGGCAAGTGATTGAGAGGTTGCAATGCAAGGAGAGGGATGAGCGAGCACAGAGCAGTATCACTCCTGGCAACGGCACTGCGGCAGCACATCTTGTGCTCCTGCCAGCTGCTGCTGCAGTGATGAGGCATGAGTATGCGTGCTGATATGGGTGCACTGTAGGGAGAGAGTGGTGCAGAGGGATGAAGCAATGCGATGCACGCACAGGGGGGGCATGCAAGCAATACAGCAGGGCAGGCGATCAAGTATGGTGAGAGCCATGAACAGCAGACTTCCCAGGCGACCGATGCATGCTCTCCTTGCAACCCACGTTGAAGCAACTGCCCCTTCAAACATGCCCCCCCTTGCTCAGCCCAACAGCCTGCTTTCATGCAGGGACCCTTCCTCTCCCCCGTCCGCCCTCACAGCCCCGTGCCACCCTTCCTCCTCTCTCCCCCCATCCATCCACCCCATACATCAACCATCACCTCTCCACCCCTAGCCCCTCGCCCCTCCCCACAGACACCCACCAGAGGAGCAGGCGAGGGCGGTCTGTGAGGCAAGCAGGCGGTGCAGGTGGGGGAGGGGGGGGGTGGGGAGGCGTAGGCAGGTGAAGGACGCTAGGTGGGGGAACTTGGTGCGCACCTGCATGGGGATGGGGAAGGGGAAGCGGGGAGGGGGAGCGGAGGAGGGAGAAGGTGAGGGAGGGGGTTGAAGGACAGGTGCGGGCAGATGAACGACGATAGGTGGGGGAACTTGGTGCGCACCTGCATGGGGCAGGGGGGGAAGCATGGGAGCGGGGAGGGAGGGAGGGGTGGGGTTGGGTAAGAGGCGGAAGAGGGAGGGCTGAGAGATTGATAGTGCCAGGGTGTGTGAGGAGTGGAGATGAAGGGAGACAGTGTTGAAAAGAGTGGGGTGGTAAGAAGTTGCACGAGATGCTTAAAAATCTGAATAGAACTTGTCACGGGTCATGGGTCATGGGTCACGGGTCGTTACACCATGCACCACTGCGCCATGGCGTGCCTGAATGCACCATGCCATGCGCTGATTGCCCCATGCCATAATTGCACCATGCCATAATTGCACCATGCCATAATTGCACCATGCCATAATTGCACCATGCCATAATTGCACCATGCCATAATCACACCATGCCATAATTGCACCATGCCATAATTGCACCATGCCATAATTGCACCACGCCATAATCACACCATGCCATAATCGCACCATTCCATAATTGCACCATGCCATAATTGCACCATGCCATAATCGCACCATGCCATAATTGCACCATGCCATAATCGCACCATGCCATAATTGCACCATGCCATGCGCCATCCCGCCATACGGGGGGAGTGCGATGCTTACAGCAGGTGAGAGGCTTACAGCAGGTGAGAGGCCGGCAGCGTCCAGCGTGAGGGGAATGACGGAGTCCGCTCCTGGTGTGTCATTGGTGATGGCCGGCCGGCCGGCACGCAGGCACGCAGGCATGCAGGCGTGGAGGCATGCAGGCAGGCATGATGAAGGGAGGGAGAGAGGATTGGTGGCAGGGAGGTGACGGTGGAACGGTGATGAGTTCATCACAAAGCGATGATACATGCTGGTAGCACGATGGCAGATGATGGTAATGTGTTGATATATGATGGTAAAGCGATTGATGCTAGATGACGGCACGGCACCTTGCACGCCGTCCTCTGTGAGGGCGAGTGAGGCGGATTCGCTGGCATGCAGGGCGAAGAGAATCTGCTCGCCATAGTCACTCTCGTTATAGTCCCAGTCCACTGCAATCTCGTCTGCCGACACCCAGTGCGCCTTGAATAGATCCAAACTGCCCTGCTCGTACACACATTGATGCCGCACCGCACCGCACACCACACCACACAAGGCACACGCTCAACCCAGCATGGCGCACCACACGGGGAATGCAAGGCACAGAGGCGCAGGCAGGGAATGTGTGGGTGAGCATGGCACGCCTTGGCAGGCGAGTGTGCGAGGCTGCTTGCTTGGCCAGGCGGGCAGAAGTTAGGGCGGCAACTACAGCATGAGTGAAGTAAGCAAGGATGAAAAGACACCGGCACGGCAGGAGCAGCATGAGAAGGGAGCAGTGTGTGCCGCACAAATCCACCCACGAAACACCTGAGGCGAGGGACAGGTTGGGGTGGGTGGGAGAGACGCCGGTGGGGGCAGGAGAGAGGCGGGTGGAGGTACCTTGGGGAGGCGGTCGAGGTTGGGGGCGTGCAGGAAGGCGCGCTGGCAGTCAGAGATGAGCCACACTGTGGGGCCGCGGTGGGTGCTGGTGGAGGATGGCGGTGCGGGCAGCGCGGCCATGTCTATGGCGGTGGGCAGCGCGGCCATGTCTATGGCGGTGGGCAGCGCGGCCATGTCTATGGCGGTGGGCAGCGCGGCCATGTCTATGGCGGTGGGCAGCGCGGCCATGTCTATGGCGGTGGGCAGCGCGGCCATGTCTATGGCGGTGGGCAGCGCGGCCATGTCTATGGCGGTGGGCAGCGCGGCCATGTCTATGGCGGTGGGCAGCGCGGCCATGTCTATGGCGGTGGGCAGCGCGGCCATGTCTATGGCGGTGGGCAGCGCGGCCATGTCTATGGCGGTGGGCAGCGCGGCCATGTCTATGGCGGTGGGCAGCGCGGCCATGTCTATGGCGGTGGGCAGCGCGGCCATGTCTATGGCGGTGGGCAGCGCGGCCATGTCTATGGCGGTGGGCAGCGCGGCCATGTCTATGGCGGTGGGCAGCGCGGCCATGTCTATGGCGGTGGGCAGCGCGGCCATGTCTATGGCGGTGGGCAGCGCGGCCATGTCTATGGCGGTGGGCAGCGCGGCCATGTCTATGGCGGTGGGCAGCGCGGCCATGTCTATGGCGGTGGGCAGCGCGGCCATGTCTATGGCGGTGGGCAGCGCGGCCATGTCTATGGTCCACGTGCAGTCCTGGCGGGGGGGGGGGGGGGAGGATGAGGGAGGAAGGGCGGCAGAGCGGGAGAGAAGAAGAGAATGAACGTGAGTGAGAAAATGGGGTTGAGGAATGGAAGAGCAAGAAGAGATGTGTGCGGCAGTGAAGGGACGACGGGTTTGGGAACACCGGGGACTGTCCTTGTCATGGCATGCAGGGTAGGGTTACTGAGATGAGATGGTAACGAGTGATGCACAACTCACAGGTGTGAGGGGAAAGGGATGTGGTGCTTGGAGCGTGACACATGAGGCATGCAGAAGGAGAGAGACAGGGCATGGGCCGTGAGAGGAGCAGGTATGTAGCATGGGAGCCAGGGAGGCGAGAGACAGAGCAGCGCAGTGCAGCGCAGTGCAATGCGGTGAGGCACACACCTTCCAGTCCCCTCGGTGTGGCAGCACGTTCACTGTCCGCGCCTGTGGCTGCAGCTGCACGCGCCACTCCACCCACTTCATCCCGCCACCACCCGCAGCAACAACACCGCCAGTGGCAGCAGCAGGCGAGGAGTGCAGAGGGTGCTGCCAGTCGGTCTCTGTCTCCACGTCGCCCCACACGTGCAGCCCCCATCCGTTGTAGTCGCCATCGCCCCTGCCAGTGCCGGCACATGGAGCAGCGCATGGCAGCATGGGAAGATGCATGAGCACCAGCAACACCACGAGTGGCAGTGGCAAGCGAGGAGGGCAAGAGGTGCTGGCAGGCAGTGGGTCTCGGTCTCCACATCGCCCCACACACGTGCAGCCCCCACCCCGTGTAGTCACCGTCGCCCCTGCCAGTGCCGGCACACACGGCGGCGCATGGTGACACGGGAGGAAGCGTGCATGAGGCCCTGAAAGCATTCATTTGCATGCCATGCCAGCCACACTGATTCGGCATGCGTACACTGATTTGCATTCTATGCTTCGCGTCACACCAGCCATAGCACGGGTATGAACCAAGGATGGAGCTGCCTCCGCAGTGGTCCACTCCCAGGGTATGCCATGTGGCCCTGCACCTGTCCACACGCCATGGCATGGCACGAGCACGACCTACACGACCCATCTCAGGGCACGGACGGCCAGGATCATGGAACGGAATGTGGGCGTGCAGCAGCAGCCCAGCACACACAACGAGCTGCCTCTTGATTTGACTCGAACGAGATGACCGGCACGGTCATGGCATTGCCTGGCATTGCGTGGCATCTGTGTGCACAACAGCAGGACAGGAGATGCGACTTCCTGGCAGCACTGGCATGTGCGGTGGAGACATAGAGAGAGTGGGGGGTGTTTGGCGACAGGTGGGTGGGCACGTGCCACGTGGCATGGCGTGTGCGTGTCGTCATAGTCTGCAGGCATGCACAGCTATAGCAGATGATTACACAGCGCCTGGCATACTGGACATTCCTCACCCCTTTCCCCCCCTCCTGCGAGCACTTTCTTTACCCTTTCCCGCTCCCTCCCCATCCCATCCCACCGTTGTCCCCCTTCGCACCTATGATACACGACGCGCAGAATGATTTCCCCCCCTGCGTGCCCGACACCTGCTCCTGCCTTCGCCCCTCCCCCCTCTGTTTCCGCCCCAATTCCGTCCCCCGCGGAACAGCGCGGAGTAAGCAGGGAAGCGCGCCGACTGGCGGACGCAGAGCGTGGACTAAGCAAGGCGCGCGCGCGCGGAAGGCCGGAGGTGGCGCACGCGGGGAGCATGGCGCGCTGCCCTTCTCGACCTGGGTGCGATCCGCCAGAGCGCGAGGAGACGGCGGTCGCGGCGACGGAGGGGGCGAAGGGGCGAGAGCACAGCGCGAAGGCCATGACGAGTCACGAGAGCCTGTTGGCCGATCGCCGTACGAATCTTGATACGAATCTAAGGCTTCACTTTAATTGAATTCTGCGGCTCTCACTCATTCCCTGCTGCTGATCAGAGTGAATTGAATCAGACTGAACTAGGATGGGGGAAGGCGCCCAGGAGGTGTCCACAGAAGCAGGTGCTGCATTGCGTCTCAACTGGACTCAAATCAAAACGAACAGAAACGCTGTAGTGCGTGGGTGATGGTAATTTCTAGGTGTTTGGGTGAATGTCAAATGTAACTCAACCTGGGTGGCGATATTCAATTTAGATCCTTAGTTGGCTGCTGTTACCGAGTGCATTTGAGTGAGCAACCTAAGATTGCACTTTCGAAGCAAGCCATACAATGAACGAAGAGCATCAAATCATTTACAGAGATTGGCAAGAAATAATAAATTACCTCTTCAAATCTTCTTTTCTTATTTTGTTTTTGTCGTTTTTGTTCTTGCTTCTTTTTTCAGAAATTAGTAATAAATTATGATGATTTATGAAATGGAGAAAGAAAAACCAAACTTGCCAGATCGATTGCAATCGGCTGCATCGCATCTCCCCAAAAAATAACCGCTCTCAAAGGACCTCAGCAATTTCGCCGCCAAAGGCGCGGACACTCCCACATTACCTCTGCCTTTGTTAGATGGTTGAGCGGCAAAGTCTAACAATACCTAGATGGTGGGGGAGCGGCGGACTCGTTCAAGTGAGCTCTGCACTTTGAGGAGGGCGAGCTTGTCCTTGCCGATGCTGCTGCTCTTGATGTGGTCCGGCACGCTGTGGCGGTGCATCATCGTCACAAACTCATTGTAGTCTATTCGGTCGTCCTGTTGGTGGGCAAAGGTGCACGCGCGTAGGTACACATGGTGGTGCGGTGAGAGAAGATGTTGCTGTGGCGGTGCATCATTGTCGCCCAGGGGCATGGGCGGTTAGGATAGGGCTCCACCTCACCTTGCTCGCATCCACCTCACCTTGCTCGCATCCACCTCACCTTGCTCGCATCCACCTCACCTTGCTCGCATCCACCTCACCTTGCTCGCATCCACCTCACCTTGCTTGCATCCACTCACCTTGTTTACGTCCACCTCCTGCATCCTCTCCTCCACATTCTCGTCCTAGCTGTACTCGATACAGTGACATGCAGTACTAAGTGAACGTACCTTGCTGAAAAATCAACCTCACCTTGTTAACATCCACCTCACCTTGTTCACATCCACCTCACCTTGTTCACATCCACCTCACCTTGTTCACGTCCACCTCACCTTGTTCACATCCACCTCACCTTGTTCACGTCCACCTCACCTTGTTCACATCCACCTCACCTTGTTAACATCCACCTCACCTTGTTCACGTCCACCTCACCTTGTTCACATCCACCTCACCTTGTTCACATCCACCTCACCTTGTTCACATCCACCTCACCTTGTTCACGTCCACCTCACCTTGTTAACATCCACCTCACCTTGTTCACGTCCACCTCCTGCATCATCTCCTCCACGTTCTCCGGCCCGATGCCAAACTCCTCACACACCTGCCATGCACGCACACCCATGCACACCCATGCACACCCATGCAAACCCATGCACGCCCATGCAAACCCATGCACGCCCATGCACACCCATGCAAACCCATACACACCCATGCACACCCATGCACCACCATGCACACTCATGTAAACCCAGAAGAGAAGAGAAGAGAAAAGAAGATTTGGAACGAGAAGGCTACTGGTGTTGAAATCAAGGGGCCATATTCTCCCACGTTCTCTTGCCCGAAGCCACACTCCTCGCACACCTGCCATGCACGCACACAGGCAGGCAGTGCGCGGGCAGGTGGGCGAGCAGGCAGGCAGGGAAAAAGGGAGCATAGGGTATTTGAGGCATGCATAGCAAACTGCAGTCCCTGCAGTTGTACCTGCAGTGAGATTCTCCCTCATAGCTACAAGGAGAATGCTCCCTCACACATCTCCCATCCAGGCATGGGGCATGGAGCATGAGAATACAGGGCATAGGGGCATGGGGCCACACTGAAGGAAAGGGTCTAGTTCCTCCCCATGGCACACCATCCACACGCTACATCCATAGCGTCCAGCCACACCCCTATGACACGACACAAAACACATAACACATCGCACATGACACCTATAACACATGACACATAACACATGACACATAACACATGACACATGACACATGACACATGACACATAACACATGACACATAGCACATAACACATGACAGATAACACATGACACATGACACATGACACATGCTACATGACACATAACACATGCCACATAACACATGATATACATGACACATGACACAATGTCACATGCCACATGTCACATGACACAGAACACATGACACATAACACATAACACATGACACATGACGCATAGCACATGACACATAACACATGACCTATGTTGGAAAACAAGCTCAGATGAGTTTGCGTATTGAATATGAATGCACCAAAAATATGTACGCCGTGATTTTTGTGTAAATACGCCAAAATACTAACGGAAAGTCCGGAAAAAAAAAAAAAAAAAAAACTCAGTTGGGTCTGATCTTGCAAAATAGCGAATTCAAATCTGGTCTTCGCAGATTTGTGATCTCAACTTCGACTTTAATTTCCAAAGCCAATGCACAACAACCCCTCCTGTTTACCGCTGAACAGCCCACTCAACCCCATTCATTCGCCCTCCTTTCCAACTCAAATGTCCCTCGTCCTCAGCGACGACATCGTTCTCTATGTCGAAATGATGCCCCAAACTGCCATAATTCTTCATGACGACTCGTTCTTCATTTTTTTTACTTGCCCGGGCCTGCGTTTTTGGTGCGTATATGACACTCAGAAGTCCGCGTTTTCAATATAAACGCTAACAAAAATACGCTCTCGTATAATCGTGAAACACGCATTTTCATATCCTCCGCGCCGCGCCACCCCTTTGAGCTTGCATCCAAAACATCAACCAGCTGCTACCCCTGCCAAAGCACTACAGGGCAGGGCCTGATGCCCTTTCACTTCCTTAACTGTCATGAGGCACACCCAACGCCACAGCAAACACACACGCACCCGAGTCAGATTGTGCCCGGAGATAAACTCGCTGTCATCCTGGTCGAAACACTGACAGGACTGCTGCAGATTCTCCTGCTTCACTTGACCCTCCCAAGGGGAATATCATTCGCCCTTCCAAGGCACCACCAAACGCACCTGGGTGAGCTCGTCCCGGGTGAGGTGATGAAGCGCTGCCATCCATCACTGTCCAAGCACTGCAACGACTGGTGCAGGCTGTCTTCTTGAATCATGTGGCTGAGCCCCAGAGTGGACGCAAAGAACCCATTCGCATACCCATCCACATACGCACCCACACATTCATCCACCTGACTGAGCTCGTCCCTGGTGAGGTGATGAACCCGCTGCCATCCCTGCCCAAGTCCCGCAAGGCCTCGTGCAGGCTCTCCACGTTGGTCCTTCCAGGGGATATTAATTACCCCCCCAACCCCAAACCACCAACAACCAAACGCACCTGAGTGAGCTCATCGCGTGTGATGCCATCCTTGATCAAGTACTGCAAGGCCTCGTGCACGTTCTCCTCCTTAAAGCCTTCCAAGGGGTTATAACCACCATTGAGCGCACCTGAGTGAGCTCATCTCGAGTGATGAAGCCGCTGCCGTCCTTATCAAAGTACTGGAAGGCCTGGTGCAGGTTCTCCTCCTTGATCATGCGGTTCAGCCCCAGCGTGGCCGCAAAGAACTCGTTCATGCAGATGCTCTCACTGTCGTTCACGTCCATCTGCGAGGGGGTGAGATGTGGGGTTGAGGGGCAAAAGGAAGAAAGAGGAGAGTGAGTGAGCGGAAGAGAGACAAGTCGTTCATGTCGATGCTCTCACTGTCGTTCACATCCATCTGCGAGGGGTGTGGGGAAGGAGAGGGGCGAAAGGGGCAGGAGCGGGAGCAGATGAAGAGGGAGTGAGTGGAAGGACCAGTGTGGATGCAAAGAACTTGCTCATATCGATGCTCCCACTGCCATTGTCGTCCATCTGAGATGGCGTGGGTGTGGGGCATGGGCAATAGGGGGAAGGGAGAAAAAAGAGGACGGGAGAGCAGATGAAGGGGGGGTGAGTGGAAGCACATGTAGAGAGGGATTGGAAGAGAGAGAGTAGAGAGAGGGAAGAGAGAGGGGCATACAAGCAGCAAAATAAGAAATGAACCAGGCACCTACCCAGTGAAGGACGCTGATAGCAGAGTAGAGTAGAATAGAGCTATTCATTACCCCAAAACTAAAGCATACGAGCATGGAAACAAACAAGCAAGCCGGCTGACTGACTCACAGCGGAGTAGAGCTGTCTCAGCTCCCCTTGGCTCATGCGCGCGCTCAAATCATAACACGTTTTGGCCAAAAACGGGGCATGCAAGGAGAAAACAAGGCAGCAGCAAGGCAGCATCAAGGCAGCAGCAGGTCAGCAGCAAGCCAGGCGAGGCGACTCACAATGGAGTGGAGCTGTCAGTCACACGTCGCCCTCATTCATCCTTTCACCCATCTTCTGCAACCCTCGCCTCAAAGTAGCACAAACAGGGACACACACGGAGCAAGCAGGCAGGTGGCAAACAAGGCGACTGACAGCGGAGTAGAGCTGGCGCAGCTCCCCTTCGTTCATCCTGGCGCCCATCTTCTGCAGCCCGCGGCGCATCTCATCGAGAGACAGCGAGCCGCTGTGGTCCATGTCCAGCTGGTTGAAGATCTCCCTCATGCCCAGGATCTCCTCCTCCGTCAACTGCTGCGCCACCACCTGGTGGGGGCAAGGGGAGTAGGGGAGGGGGGTAGCGGAGTAGGGGAGTAAGGGGTATGGCATGGTGGTGAGCCGCTCTGGTCCATGTCGAGCTGGTTGAAGATCTCCCTCATGTCCATTATCTCCTCCGTTAGCTGCTGCGCCACCACCTGGTGGCCGAGGGAGGTGGGGTGGAGTGGAGTAGG